TAAATTGGAGACTGTACCGAAGCCAGATGACTTTTTCGGTTTTAACTTTGATATATGCTTTTTGATCTCTAAAACACTTGTCCTTTCCATTTTTTCATTAGACATCGCAAGTGCATTCATCAGTTCTAGATATTCAGTTTCAATCTGAACTTCATCGGAGTCAGACATATCCACTCTTTGTGCTTCGAATTATTCCGAGTAGTATCTGTAAAGTTTCTCACTGATTTCGTTTTTCTCTGACAACACTTTCTTACCAGTATCTAATTTCCTAAAGGGTAGTGATCTACGTTTATATACCCGAGAGAGATATAACCAAAATGCTCTATCCGTATTGTCATGAGTTTCTTGAATTTTGGACAGAAACTCCTGCCATTTATTCGATTTGTATTTTGGAATTTCGATTTTTAACTTCTCGTGTTAATACACGTAACAACACTCTGGTCTCTTCGTTTGTATTGAGCATTTTTTTCTCGCGATATTATTTATTCCTTACTCTTTTCACTTCTTTAAGCTTCTGAATAAGATAAGGAGGCCATGCTGGTCGGAATTTTTCTTTTTCTTTCCATTTTGTGAGTCTGTTCTTTAAAGCAGCAAGAAAGCGCACATAATTCATATACCCGTCATCTGCTTTCATTCCTCTACTTTGCTCCTTTAACCAAAATTCTTGTAACAACGTGAGAATGACTTCATACACTTTCCAACAGAGATGGGCAAGTCAGCTATTTTTTCACTCAAGTCAAGTCAAGTCATTTGTCAAAGAGAGTCAAGTCAAGTCAAGTCAAGTCATTGCTCAAAAAAAAATATCTTTAAGTCAAGTCAAGTCAAGTCATCAATTTGAGATACGCCATTGCAAGTCAAGTCAAGTCAAGTCTGTGTTCTAACCAAGTCAAGTCAAGTCAAGTCTCAAGTCATTGACTTGAATTTTTTTTTAAATTTCATAATCTAGTTATGTATTAATTTATTGAAAAAAACATTAAATCAATTCAGTTGTAATACAAGTTGTAATTGATCTAACCAGTTTAACACAATAGATCACGTGTGATGCACACTCAGCCGTATAATTGCTTATATACTTCGAGTGTCGATGTCAGATAGTTTCTTTTGTGAGATCAAACAGACTAGACGAATAAACAATGAATTGAGAATTCATTGTTTATTCGTCTAGTCTGTTTAGGACCTTATTTTATACGCACAGGTCAAATATAACCTGACGAGAATCTAATATGCATTGAAGTTGCAAAGAATATCTGACTT